AATTTTCTCTATTGGCATATGGGGTATAAAGTAATACATAATTTTTCTACAAGGACATAAGGGATGTAAAAGTTACACAATTTTTTCTCGAAGGACATAAACTAATAAAGAATTTTCTCCACTGATGTAATGAGCATAGAGAATTTTAATAGTTTACTTTTTAGAATCAATTTTTTATCTTCCCTGGGAAAATAACATTTCTTTTGAATTTAAACTTCAAAACTTTAATGAGTCAATATTTGAATTTAGTCTTATGACTGAACATGGCATCATTTTTAATTGGTTTTCTTATATAACTGCTGGGAGCAGGTTCTATCATTATAATTATAATGCCAACAGTTGTTCAATTCCAAACGATTTTTTGGAATCAATTTGTGAAATTGATTACTGGATTGAGGAAGAAAAACAGCTCTATGATCATTCTCAATTTGGAGTTTTCTGAAGGTGGAGTTTGTGAAATTGATCACACAAATCTGAAGTTGGATTCCAGCAATGATGTCATAATTACCAGGTTTGGTTTCTTAGACTGGCGGCAAAATGTTAATGCTAAGGATTACTTGGTCCAGAGTTGTACAGAATCAGTTTGAGCTTCTAATTAATTCTAACTATTGATTGACCTGCAAAAAATAAGCTAAGATACTCAGTTTTAAGAAGACTAACGCCGTGTTTTACTGAACATCATATGTTCACCCATGGCTTAAAGATTTCAGATCTGCCAACTTTAATTAATAATAATAATACAAAATAAATACTTGTTGAGAGTAAAACAGCAAGTTTCCACAAACACCATGAGTTTCTACTAATTTTTTATGAGGCCCTCTTCATTACTAATGTAACAGAGAAGCAAAATTCAGGGCATAAAATCATATGTGGCCACAATGTCTATATTAATGTCTATTGTTGTGCATTTTTTGACACAGAAACAAAAGCAGTGTTTTCAATGTAGATACAAATTAATTAAATAATCTTTTACAAGGACACAATATTTGTAGTCAACATGGGATGGTCAGATTGGTGTTAGACTGACCCTGACCATATCATGCATGAGCCTGGCAACAAACAAGTGTTTGACAGGCTTTATCAGGACTTGGCCTTCATAAAGTGTTGCATTTTTTCTTTTACATGGTGTTTTAATTAGCTGATTTTAATCAGCTGAAATTGAAGGTCATTGTCCTATGGTGCAAGTGCAGTGGATCTCAATAAAAATTATCAGAATTTTCATTTTGACAGAATGTAATGCTTAGAAGGCAAGAACATGTAAGGTATATTTGTTCAATAAAAAATATTTTTGACCCTTATCAGCTCTTATGTCTTGGTTATTTTTGTGGCCAATAGTTGTCAGTACACTATGTCCACACAGAGATGAATAAAGTGTATCATCAACTTATTGCTATTGAAGATGAGACTATATATTTTGGTATCATCTGAAGACACCAATGAAAGAATACCATGTGCTGCCTAAAATCAAATGTTTTGTTGATGGAATCTGCTGATTGGAGGAAGATTTCAATAGTGGTATTATGGATATTTATTAAAGTGTAAAATTCACCTAATCATCACAACAGATATATGTTTGCCTTTTAAGTAATTAGGTAAAATCAGTAAATACCCAATCCTGGTCATAATATCAAGTGTTTTTTCATGTACTATTAAGTATATGTAAAAACTAAACATTATTTGTTATGTACCAAAACATTGCCACCTTAGAAGTAGAATACATTTGTCTGTATAAAAAGAACACAATTGCGTGTACAATTATAATACATTTGAGTGTATAATTGGAAAGCAGTTGTCTGTATAATTAGAACACAGTTGTGTGTATAATTAGAACACAGTTGTCTGTATAATTAGAATACATTTGTCTGTATAATTAAAATACAGTTGTCTGTATAATTAGAATACAGTTGTGTATATAATTAGAATACAGTTGTGTGTATAATTAGAAAGCAGTTGTCTGTATAATTAAAATATAGTTGAGTGTATAATTACAAAGTAGCATAATTACATAATCTTTTAGTCTTTTACTTGGCATTGCTTATGTCCTTCTTTCTTTTACTTGGAATTGCTTGTGTCCATCTGTCTTTTACTTGGCATTGCTTATGTCCTTCTTTCTTTTACTTGGCATTGCTTTATGTCCTTTTTTCTTTTACTTGGCATTGCTTGTGCCCATCTGTCTTTTACTTGGCATTGCTTTATGTACTTCTTTCTTTTACTTGACATTGCTTATGTCCTTCTTTCTTTTACTTGGCATTGCTTGTGCCCATCTGTCATTTACTTGGCATTGCTTGTGCCCATCTGTCTTTTACTTGGCATTGCTGTGTCCATCTGTCTTTTACTTGGCATTACTTTATGTCCTTCTTTCTTTTACTTGGCATTGCTTTATGTTCTTTCTTTTACATGGCATTGCTTTATGTCCTTTTTTCTTTTACGTGGCATTGCTTGTGCCCATCTGTCTTTTACTTGGCATTGCTTGTGCCCATCTGTCTTTTACTTGGCATTGCTTGTGTCCATCTGTCTTTTACTTGGCATTACTTTATGTCCTTCTTTCTTTTACTTGGCATTGCTTTATGTCCTTTCTTTTACATGGCATTGCTTTGTCTTTTTTTCTTTTACTTGGCATTGCTTGTGCCCATCTGTCTTTTACTTGGCATTGCTTTATGTACTTCTTTCTTTTACTTGGCATTGCTTATGTCCTTCTTTCTTTTACTTGGTTTTGCTTTATGTCCTTCTTTCTTTTGCTTTGCATTGCTTTATGTCCTTTTTTCTTTTACTTGGCATTGCATGTGCCTATCTGTCTTTTACTTGCCATTGCTTTATGTACTTCTTTCTTTTACTTGGCATTGCTTATGTCCTTATTTCTTTTACTTGGCATTGCTTGTGCCCATCTGTCTTTTACTTGGCTTTGCTTGTGTCCATCTGTCTTTTACTTGGCATTGCTTATGTCCATCTGTAATTTAATTGGCATTGCTAATGTCAATCTGTCTTTTACTTGGTCTTGTTTATGTCCTTTCTTTTACTTGGCATTGCTTATGTCCTTTTTTTCTTTTACTTGGCATTGCATATGTCCAGCTGTAGTTTACTTGGCATTATGTCCAGCTGTAGTTCACTTAGTCTTGCTTATGTCCATTTGTCTTTTACTTGGAATTACTTATGTCCAGCTTTTTTTAAAATGATTTTTCTTATGTTGATCTGTCTTTTTTGGCCTTGCTTATGTCCATCTGTCTTCTTTGGCCCTGCTATATCCATCTGTCTTCTTTGGCCCTGCTATGTCCATCTGTCATTTTCTTTGGCCTTGCTATGTCCATATGTTATCTTCTTTGGCCCTGCTATGTCCGTCTGTCATTTTCTTTGACCTTGCTTATATCCATCTGTCTTCTTTGGCCCTGCTATGTCCATCTTTCATTTTCTTTGACCTTGCTTATATCCATCTGTCTTCTTTGGCCTTGCTATGTCCATATGTCATTTTTTTTGGCCTGCTATGTCCATTCGTCTTTTTTGGTTCTGCTATGTCCATATGTCATTTTCTATGGCCTTGCTATGTCCATCTGTCTTCTTTGACACTGCTATGTCCATATGTCATTTTCTTTGGCCCTGCTATGTCCATCTGTCTTCTTTGACACTGCTATGTCCATATGTCATTTTCCTTCTTATGTTGATCTGTCTTCTTTGGCCCTTCTATGTCCATATGTCATTTTCTATGGTCTTGCTATGTCCATCTGTCTTCTTTGACACTGCTATGTCCATATGTCATTTTCTTTGGCCCTGCTATGTCCATCTGTATTCTTTGACACTGCTATGTCCATATGTCATTTTCTTTGGCCCTGCTATGTCCATATGTCATTTTCTATGGCCTTGCTATGTCCATCTGTCTTCTTTGACACTGCTATGTCCATATGTCATTTTCTTTGACCCTGCTATGTCCATCTGTCTTCTTTGACACTGCTATGTCTATATGTCATTTTCTTTCTTATGTTGATCTGTCTTCTTTGGCACTGCTATGTCCATATGTCATTTTCTATGGCCTTGCTATGTCCATCTGTCTTCTTTGACATTGCTATGTCCATATGTCATTTTCTTTGGCCCTGCTATGTCCATCTGTATTCTTTGACACTGCTATGTCCATATGTCATTTTCTTTGGCCTTGCTTATATCCATCTCTCTTACACTTGACATTACTTATATCCATCTGTCAAAGTAACATTCTGTCAAATTTGTTCATCAGTATGTCAGTTTATCTTAAATTTTTATTGAGAATAAAAAAAAAACTTAACTTGGTGCCTGATAATTAAAGCTTTAGTTGGTGTTCAGTTTTCTACAATTTCTGACAGAGTTTGTTCAAGTCATGGCCCTGTATGATTGAAACATTAACTGTTAAGATTTAAGCATTTTTCATTTGCTCTACATTTACAGGTTTTCCATGTTGAGTGGAAACATTTCTAGTAATCTTGCTACTTCAGAGACAAATATAGTTGTTTGGAGCGGGGGTTTTCTTAACATTGATATATAATATAAATAAAGCCATTCTCACCTTACCACTAAAAAAAGATTGCCCAAATCCAAATGAGGGAAGAAGATTTTCAGGGAATGGTTCGACACGTCTTTATACTTTGAGTGAATTGGAAAAATGAAGGATCAAGAAGCTATTATAAAGTAAAGCATCAACTGTATGGACCCATTGGATAGGGGAAGACGGATTTCATGTGGTTTAATTTTTGGATGGGCTATAGGTCTAAAGCACCTTGTTTATTGGATATATGATTTGTAAAGTATAAGTGATATGATGTGATGTGATTAATGTAGATTTAACAATTTTTCAGTCATATCGCTATGATGTCTGCATTATGGCAGTTTATAGTGATTTATAGCACTGGGGCATCATGCAGCAGACATGTAGCATGTCACATTATTCTGACACTAGGCTGATCAGTCCTAACACTAACCTCTTAATGCTGAGCACCAAGCGAGGCAGCTGTTAGTACCATTTTTGTAAGTCTTTGGTATGAATCAACCAGGGATCTGAACCCATGACCTCCTGCATCTGAGGCAGATGCTCTAACCACTAGGCCACCAGAGTGGCTTGTAAAGTATAAGTAGAAACTAATAAAGTATTACATTAAAAGCACAGTTTAAGCTATCTTTATGTCTCAAGGGGGCATGCTGTGTTGCTACTGTCCTTTTGTCTTTACAAGGAATCTTGGATCAATAATTTAGCATGGTAGCACAAAAACTCTAACTGTAACCCATGAAATTTTGCATACTTTATCATGGTTGTATATGTAAGTATATGACCTGATTAAATTCTTAAGCCAATATAGAATTATTTTAGATTTTTGCAAGTTTTAAACTTTTTGAACTTGCATATTATTAAGAAAAGCATTGATAGCATAATTAAAATAACACCAGGTAGATAATTTAAATTTGGTAGACATGGTTGTATGCCTGTATAAGTGACTTAATTAGGTAATTTATAATGTTTGTATGCACATGTAGATGACCTAATTAGGTATTTATGTTTGTATGCCTATATAGGTGACTTAATTAGGTATTTATGGTTGTATACCTATATAGGTGACTTCATTAGTTATTCCTGTTTGTATGCATATGTAGGTGAACTAATTAGATTTTCATGCCATAATAGCATTTTGTTTCTCAAATGTTTCTCAAGTTTTGACTTTTTTTACTCATTTTTTGCTTGCATTGAGGGCATATGTATTTTACAAGCACATTTCTAGTTAAGAGCATAAATGGTTTATATAAACTTGTATGAAGGCATAGCTATTTATAAGATAATATAAAATAAGAAATCTTTACTTCAGACTAAATAGTCCATACATCAAAATGCAGATATTAAGTAAAAGCATTGTAAACATAAAAGAATATATATATATATATATATATATATATATATATATATATATATATATATATAGATGCAATAAACTGACGATGAACAGTATGAAACTAGTAACTAACTAGCCTAAGCGCTTTCGACTCTTTATGAGTCTTTTTCAAAGGCAAATACAAAACATATATACGACAAACAAATAAACACAAAATCATTGTGTTTGTAAACCTCTACATGGCTGTCTCCACATGTGTTAAAACTATAAATACAACCAGCTTGTATAGACTAGTTGCGGAAACTGAAAACGGTGTATAATTCCCTAAAAGTCTACAAGCCAAAGCGACATCTATTTCTTGTATAATTTCTGGGAGACTGATGTTAAAAGGTTGTATTTCGTCAAATTAAGTGGGTCCATGTCATTTCGGACTGAAACTTATGGGAAACTTATGCCAGACATAACTGGGTTTATCAACTTAACAGGTCGAGATAAGCAGGTAAAAAATAGCATAATAAAGTTGTTTTTTTTCAAGACTGGACCAAAACATCAAATCAACATATGCGGCTTGTAAATAACCAGGTTGAGATAAATGGGTTTGACTGTAGCATCTAAAAAGCATGCAAACTCTGGGCTGCCATGTTATAATATAGCTGAAATTAGCTTAAAGACAATGCTTTCATAGCCTTTAAAAACATTGACAAAAACAATTAACCAGACAATTAAAAACATTCAGTTTCCATTGAAGAAAAATAAGAAGTTGATCAAAGTATTATTTTTTTTTTTAGAGGAAAATCTTAGATAGTTAGGTAGTTAGAGGATAAAGTCTAGAGTTTAGTTGTACAATTTCTTTTCATTTACTTGTACTTCCTCCATGTGATTGATATACTAGAGCTAAACGTTTCTCAATATTTTCACATAGATACTTGTGGCTGCTATATTTAGTGATATCAAGAAAACACTTATTGTATTTTCACAGTGGTAAGACCAAAGACCATCCACCCAAAATTTAATCAAAAACTTGGAACATATTATGAGATAATATCCTTTAAAAGTATTTTCCACATTTATTTAAATGTGTGGGTGCCTGAAAGTATCAAGAAATATGAGGTTGATGCAGACACCTTTTGTGATGATTGGTGAACCCACATTTTTTACAGATATAGAGAATATATTTAGCAAAGGCAAGTTTGACAAACTCTTTATAAGGCACTTTTTACTTTATGAAATATTGGCTTGGTATACCACTTCAGCTTATCTTCAATAATGAATTTTAGCAGAGTTATTTGCCTTTAGGCCTATACTTTGCAACAGGTCCAACCCCCTCATTACACACTTATGGCAGATATTTAACTGTGAATAGTTTTAGAAGCAAACCATCCACCTAATATTTAACAAATCCTAAAGTGGGCTGGTAATATTGTGGGAGAGATGCTGTTAGCAGTTGATATTCAAAAGAAGAAAACCATCCAGCTTTGTAAATTAGTTGATGAATTCATAATCTCCACTATCAGTCACCAGGTGTCAGTTGATTGTAAATCATTTGGAATTCCAGTGAGCCATTAGCCAATCTTATCCCAGGAAACATGTGATCCATTACAAATTGTCACCCATTGTGCTTAGCTTGTCTGACTAAGTGGTTGTCTGCTGCAATAATGATTAGACACATACACAGTTTGTGCTATGTCACACACAAAAATTTTGTGTTTGATTAACATCATGTATGTTTAACAAGAATTGAATGGAATATTCAGTATCAACTGAAATATATCTACTGAAGTGATGATATTTTTTACAAAAGCCTCACTTTTGCATAAAATACTATTTTAATAATGAGTAGGTGTGGATTTGGCAATATGTCTAATGCTTTACCAATAACCTCAGCTCCACTCAACCCTGTGACTCCTCCCTAACCCACCCCAGAAAAAAAAAAATCAGTGAAACACAACAGCTATGTGTAATTATTTTGATTTATTCATGAATAAGAATAAGATTGAATGAAAAGGTAATATAATATAGCTATATTATATGGTATGTGACTAATTATTTACTCTAATCTTCAATTTTTATACAATATATCATTATTAAATATAGAAACAAATTAATAAAACTCTTTTACCTGGACCATATTTAAGATACTACAGTCATACACCTTAAAAAAATAAAAAATTTTAACAAAATATCTTGGACTAAATGGTTGAAAAATTTATGCTTTGCCTCTTGAAAATTACTTGTGACAGGCTCAGTTTTTGAAGATCTAGGAAATTGTCTGAATTGCAAGAGTTGATTGACTATTTATTGAGTTGATTGACTATTTATTGAGTTGATTGACCATTTATTGAGTTGATTGACCATTTATTGAGTTGATTGACCATTTATTGAGTTGATTGAATGGAGTTGATTGACCATTTATTGAGTTGATTGACCATTTATTGAGTTGATTGAATGGAGTTGATTGATCCTTTATTGAGTTTGACTATTTATTGAGTTGATTGACCATTTATTGAGTTGATTGACCATTTATTAAGTTGATCCACCATTTATTGAGTTGATTGACCATTTATTGAGTTGATCCACCATTTATTGAGTTGATTGACCATTTATTGAGTTGATTGACCATTTATTGAGTTGATTGAATGGAGTTGATGGATGATTTATTGAATTGATTGACCATTTATTGAGTTGATCCACCATTTATTGAGTTGATTGACCATTTATTGAGTTGATTGACCATTTATTGAGTCTATATGAAAATAGTTGTTAACAACATTATGAAGCTATGGACAATAAAAGGAGACATTGGAATTAAAGGAGCAATATTTCTCAGCATTGGAATGAGGATCTCATTTCAATCCACCAATTAGTACCAAAACTGTTTAACTTTGAGAAGATTAGGTGCAATAGTTCTAACAAATCTTCACTAATATTGACAGACTTCTTTGTCATTGTAGGCATGTTATTGTCTACAAGCAGCAAAGGGATAAAGACCATATACTGTATATGAAATAAAAAAAATTTATTTTGTTTCATCAACATTTCAGACTTAATCGTTATTGGTCACTGACAGTAGTTCCTGAGCTTGCCACACCCATACTACAACCCAAAGCTCTGAACAGTTGTTTTTTTTTTTTTGTAGTCTTTTTCATTTTCAATTATTTGGGACATCAAGCAAGATAATTATATCCCAAAGGTAAGGTGATCTTGGTACTTACTTTTCAAAGTTGAACAAGAGCTGAGTCTTATTTATTTTAAGGACTTTTGATTTGCTTTCAAAAGCACCTTGGGGAAATAAAATTGAAAAATAATATGGCTTAGCTGTTGGCATGTTATATAATGCTGTTTATACTTGAGCTTTTCAGTGACTGTTTTTGTTTTCTTCTATAAATGAAAGCAGAGATGTAGTGACATTGGGGGTCACGACATTATCATTTATTCTTTCACCATTTCGTTTTCTGAACTTGTTTATATCAGAATTATAATTCTGAGTACACATAATTGCAATGATATTACAGTCCAAGAACACATAATTGCAATGACATCACAATTCCAAGCAGACATAATTTCAATGATATTTGCAATGACAATATAATTCTAAGTACACAGAATTGTAGTGACATCACAGTTTTGAGTAGACATAATTGCAGTGCCATTACATTTGAGTACATATAATTGTATTTGACATATAGGTTTGAGTACATATAATTAGAATGATATCAGAGTTTTGAGTACACATAATTGCAACAACATTACAATTTTAATTACATATAATTGCAGTGACATTACATTTTTAAGTACATATAACTGCAGTGATATACAATTTTGAGTACACATAATTAGTGGCATTGCAATTTTGAGCATGTATAAATACATTGACATTACAATTTTGTTAACAGGTAAATGCAGTGACCTTACAATTTTAATTACACATGATTGCAGTGACATTACAATTTTACTTACATATGATTGCAGTGTCATTAAAGTTTGAGAACATAATCGCAGTGACATTGCAATTTTGCATGCATATAATTGCAGTGATATTACAATTTTGAGTACATATAATTACAGTGATATTAATATTTTGAATACATATAATTGCAGTGACATTACAATTTGAGTACACATAATTGCAGTGATATTACAATTTTGAGTACATATAATTACAGTGATATTAATATTTTGAATACATATAATTGCAGTGACATTACAATTTGAGTACACATAATTGCAAT